ATTAAGTGTGAAGGAGACAGTGCCGGAGGTCATGTGAATACAATATAGAACTGGAGCTGCTTTTGATTTTCCAGAATTGTGAGTTTTATTTTTATTGCCCAACTGGAATTAGATTTTAGGTTGTGATTACACTATTGTTACATATTTAGTCTTGCTGAAAAAAAGACAAAAGTCCATCCAGTTCAACCATTGTGTTCAGTAATAATAATTACTGTGTGTTGCTTTCCTGAAAAAGAATCAAGTTTGGTTTTGGTCGCATTGGCAGCCCATTCTAAAATAACATGCATCAACACAATACAAATGTGTAAACACTAATAAAAACAGAGTGCAGCGCTAAAAAATAAATGCAAAAGAGAATAGTCCGTGATTAATGAATGGATATATATAAGTGAGTCCCAAGGAATAGCTGATGAAGGCCAGGAAACAATGGAAAGAGTGCGCACTCACCGGATGCGCATTGAAAATGCGCATAAAATGAATATCCCCTGGAATCCTTATAGGAAATGAAGAGAGTAAGCTCCAACTCTGTGGATCATTCAGCCTGGGAAGGTATAAGAGAAGTCCAGAGATCCCCTTAAGGATGGTATGGTAATCAGCCAGGATCCAAAGCTCCGTCCCTCCGGTGGTAGTAGGTGCACACTACAGGAATCCCTAAGTTAAAATGGCCGCCGGGCTATCTCGTGGCTCCGGGCGGGAGATGACGTCATGCTCTGTCGGTTCCTCCTAGAGGAGGGACGGAGCTTTGGATCCTGGCTGATTACCATTGTAAACTGATGACAAAATGGGAACGCCCATGTGAAAAAGGTGTTATACTTCCTCATATGGCGTTACAGCTCAATGCTATCTTTTCTGCCAAAAAAAACTTCCCACTTTCATTTTTAAATTGATAATTTTCTTCTTTGAGCCCAAATCTAGGTGGAGTGTGTTAATAAAAATTTTAGACATGTGTGTATTAATTTGCTATAGCTGGTTATAAATTGCTACATACCTGTTGAAATCTATAAGAATTCGTGACCAGTTGCAGATGATTTTTGGTCATATGGCTCAAAACTGAATATTTCAATAAAACAGCAGAGGTTAGTAGTATGTGCTTTAATGCCGGGAGGGATGTTAACATATGACCTTCTGTGGTACATGCACACTGAACTAATTCCAAGCCATATAAATGTTATTACAATCTGTATCTTTAAGATTTACTGTTGATCCTTTCCATAGCAATATTGGAATTTAAAGCCTCAGCCCAAAGGTTTAAGAGAATAAAGCAGAATGTGACCTTCCTTCCAAACCCCAAAAGCCTCTTGTACATCAGCTATTCTTTCCAAATCAACCTCCTAAAGCAAATCTGAAATAATGTAGGTTGCCATTGCCAACTGAAAATTTTAATTGCCTGGCTGTCACACCAATCCTCAAGATACCACACATTCCAAGTCACTGACCCTGCACAAGTTTTCAAATGAAAAGGTAACTGGCCTGGAAAATACTGAAGCCATGTAATTATCAACTTTGAAAGCTCAGCAATGGTAGTCCCCATATATCACACAAAACCTGTACTGCTAGATATTCTGAAAATTCTAATTGTCTGTAGCTTCAGTCAGTTCTGAAATACTGACCTAAAACAATCATGTAATCAGAAATCCTGATCTGCATACTTGTTCCTGGGCAGCAGCTCAGAACTCTATTGGATCATCATAAGAGCCATCCAATTAGCATTAGAGAGGTCAGCAATGTCTGTCTACATACACAGAACTCAAAACTTTCAGTATAAGTGCTCATGTACAGCGCTGAGCGAACTTTCAGCGCTTTATAAATACTGTATAATAATAATAATGTACACTGCATCTGATAAACTGACGTTCAGGAGCTTTTCTGCGTTTTTTTCAGCAGCCCCTGAACTCTCCCTAATGTTTTCCTATGTGTCCATGTACACATAGTCGTTTACATGCAGTTGAGTTTACAGTCGTTTTTTTGAACGCACCAAACTTGCGCTCAGGAGTAGATTTTATCAGCATTTCAAACGCCAAATGCTTGTAAATGCGGCTAACCGTTTTTATAAGCGTTTGTGTTTAGAAGTGTTTTTTAACTGTTCCATGTCCAGAGCCTTCTTTCATCATCAGAAATGCATGCAAAGTGTTTTCCATGTATTCAAATGGACCTAGTGCACTAGTGCAATCAGTTCCAGGTTTTGCATGAAGGAAAAAATGGTAGAACATGCTGCATTATGCTCATGATGGGATCCATAGTGAATACAACCAGAAAAGACAGGTCATCTCAACATATAACGCTCTCTCTGCTTCTGCTCTATTTCTCTCAAAATGTCTGAAACAGTTAATTTTTTACTGTTTTTCAGTGCATTCTGGGCATTTTGGAAGGCCTACTGATGTTATCTTTAAAAAACGCTTCTAAACGCAAACGCTCATAAACGCGGTATGCAAACGCAGCAAAACAGATTTTTTTTAACCTACGTTTTCCAGCAGTCAGTTTCCTTCGTTGAGAAGTTTTCCAAACGTCCTGTATACATGGAGCCTACTTCTGCTAACTCCATTCTATGTACAACAAATGGTGTGCAAATCTGATTAGAGAGGCCTGTCCCCTGCCTGCATTCTGCAGAAGCCTTTTTGTGGGAAAGCAGTGGCCCTTCTGCATAGCACCAACACGCCTCCTACTGCTGAGTCAGAGCTATAGCGCTTCGATCAGCAAAACCTATGCTCTGTACTGAATGGAGCACTTTAGCTATGGGGCATGTCAGAACTCTGCAGAGAAACTACTGCTTCCACTAAGAGAGTAAGGCTCCATGTACACTGCAGCTGTTAAACTCACGTTCAGGAGCTTTTCTGTGCTTTTTTCAGCAGCCCCTGAACTTTCCCTAATGTTTTCCTATGTGTCCATGTACACTCTGTCATTTACAGTCGTTTACAGGCAGTTGAATTTACAGTCATTTTTTTTAACGCACCAAACTTGCGTTCAGGAGTAGATTTTATCAGCATTTCAAACGCCAAATGCTTGCTAACTGCATTTATAACTGTTTGCGTTTGGAAATTTTTTTTAATTCTTCCATTTCCAGATGCTGTCCAGAGCCTTTTTTCATCATGAAAAATGTATGGAAAGCGTTTTCCTGGTACTGAAATGGACCTGGTACACCATACTTTGAGGTTTTGCATGAAAGAAAATATGTTAGACACTGCTGCAATTCTTTCTGCACAGAAATGAGCTGGAACACATCCAAACACCAAAAAAAAAAAAAAGACAGCTAATCTCAACAAATACCGCTCTCACTGCTTCTGCTCTCTTTTTCTCTCAAAATGTCTAAAATAGTAAATTTTTTACTGTATTTATGGATACATTCACAAGCCTCATGTCGATCACTGAAGCACTTCTAGAAAAAAAGTGTCAAACTGCTCAGGTGTGAACTGAACCTTAAACTACGGGCATGCCCACACCAGCAGCTTATACAGCGACTGCTGATTTCTGCTGTGTAAGGAGTGGTGCTGATTAGACAGTGCCTCAGAAGACACCGAAGCCATGGGATTGGCATGGCAGCCAGGTAACAAGCATTTCCACCTGCAATAGCTGTCTCCATACTTCATCATTTTAGATTTTTAAAGTCTTGCACAAGTTACCTTTTGTCAGGAAGTGTCCTTTCACTTCTAAACAGCAAGCTGCCATTGTTAACCACTTTAGTTTGCACACGCCAGCCAATTGCCTGTCTCTCAAGTCTGGTTTTAGTGTTTTTAGTCAGTAGCTCAGGACCAGCATAGATCAAAACTTTCTAATCTGCGTAATTGCTCTGCATCTGTGAAAAAGTAATGAAGACAGTGAGGTAACAAAACAACCAGGTAACTAGCATTTAGAGAGCAGTTCAGAAATGGAACATCTCTCATAAAGAAAGCCCTATTTTCAGATTCCAAAAGTCAAAGCCTTGGGGGGGATTCTCAAGCTTTTGTAATAAGGGGAAATCATGCAAGACATGGAGGAAATTAAAAAGTAAGCTTGCTTTGGGTGAAAAATGCACAAGTGAAATCAGTTTAGGTATCTTGTGAATACCGAAAGTACACTGCTCAAAAAAATTAAAGGAACACTTTTTAACCTCCCTAGCAGTCTGATTATGTCCATATTTCTGTGCTCAAAGCGGTACAATTTTTTGCATGGAAATATGTATTTTTTTTTTTGTAGGCCTGTAATTTTTAGGAATAACTCACTGAAATCTGTCCAAACAAGAGTCTAGTAAACATCCCGGGTATGTTACAATTTGAAACACGAAATCATAAATTATAATTTAATAATCATAAAAAAATGATAATATAATAATAAATTTAATTCAGTAATATAATCAAACCAAAAACACTGAAATTTGAAATATAGCGCCAAGTTCGCACATCATTGAGCAAAGTCGCAAAATCGCTAAATCGTTTTCAGTGTCTGATGACGAATTTCCCCAAGAATCATTATCACTCAATTCTGCAAGTGATTGTAATTCACTATCGCTGTTCTCTAGCTGGTCTAAAAGCGCTTTTGACCTAAAGGGACACTTTTTGGACACCATGGACGTTTCTCAGTTTCCAGGTAGAAAGAACAGTAAAAATGCAGGCAGGGCACAGGACAATGCACTAGGGACAAAGGTGTCCATTTATGAACCAGCAGTAGAAAATCGCTGCTCAGTTCTCTGGCATTCTCGGAGAACACAGTTCTCCTGTGAATGCCTTTTATGAAGAAGTTCTCCGAACGAAGGGAGAACGGTCTCCAAACGCTGGAAAACAGCTGATTTTACTATAATCTCGTGAGATTACAGTAAAAGATCAGTTTACTAAGCAGAGGTAAATTATCTCTGCTTAGTTTGCGGTCCCTCCGATTCTCCAGCTCTGGGCTGGAGAATCTGGAGGGAGAACACAGATCTCCAGTGAAGGGCTGAACATGTTCTCCTGAGTGTCATAAACTGTGAATGACCAGAGAATAGCTGCGATCCTCTGAATCGCAGCTATTCTGTGTCTTAAATGGACACCAAAATGTATGTGAAATGGTTTGATACAGTAATATTTTACTATGTGATTTTAGTGTATTTAGTGAATGTCACTTTTTGTCATTTTCAAATTTCCCACCAGTTCCGTCCCCCGTATGTCCCGACGCTCGCAGGGAACGGAACCCAGATGACAGGATTACAGGGGACACTGCAGGAGGGACATCGTGGGAGCGCAGGACAAGGTAAGTGAACAACAGATGCTGGAGCAGTGCCGCATGGTAAGCCGAGTGTAGCTCGGGGGTTACCGCTTGTGGTACTGAAACTTTACCCTGAGCTACACTCGGTAATACCGCCAGGGAGGTTTATCAGAGTATAGCATCGAGTCAATTAAACTCATGGGATATTGATCTGGTCAGTTAAGTAGCAGAGGCGGTTGTTAATCAGTTTCAGCTGCTTTAGTGTCAATAAAATTAACAACAGTTGCACTAGATGGGCAACAATGAGACAACCCCCAAAACAGGAATGGTTTTACAGGTAAAGGCCACTGACATTTTATTCCCTACTCATCTTTTCTGACTGTTTTTCACCAGTTTTGAATTTGGCTAGGGTCAGTGTCACTGCTGGTAGCATGAGGTGATACCTGGACCCTATAGAGGTTGCACAGGCAGTCCAACTCCTCCAGGATGGCACATCAATATGTGCCATTGCCAGAAGGTGTGCTCTGTCTACCAGCTCAGTCTCATGAGCATGGAGGAGATTCCAGGAGACAGGCAGTTGCTCTAGAAGAGCTGGACAGGGCCGTAGAAGGTCCTTAACACATCGGCAGGACCGGTTTCTGCTCCTTTGTGCAAGGAGCAACAGGATGAGCACTGCCAGAGCCATACAAAATGACCTCCAGCAGGCCACTGGTGTGAATGTCTCTGACCAATCAGAAACAGACTTCATGAGGGTGGCCTGAGGGCCCGATGTCCTTTACTGGGTCCTGTGCTCACTGCCCGGTGCCATAGAGCACGATTGGCATTTGCCACTGAACACCAGAATTGGCAGGTCCGCCACTGGCACCCTGTGCTTTCACAGATGAGAGCAGGTTCACTCTGAGCACATGACAGACATGAAAGGGTCTGGAAAAGCCTTGGATAACATCACACTGGTGCTGTGGGTCCCAGGTTCCTCCTGGTGCATGCCTGGCCTCATGAGGTGAGAGTATGCAGGCAGTTCCTGGAGGATGAAGGAATTGATACCATTGAATGGCCCCCACGCTCGACTGACCTAAATCCAATAGACCACCTCTGGGATATCATGTTTTGGTCCATCTGATGCCACCGGGTTGCACCTCAGACTGTCCAGGAGCTCAGTAATGCCCTGGTCCAGATCTGGAAGGAAATACCCCAGGACACCATCTGTCGTATCATTAGGAGCATGTCCCGACATTGTCAGGCATGCATACAAGCACGTGGGGGTCATACAAACTACTGAGTACCATTTTGAACTGCTGCAATGAAATTTCAGCAAAATGGACTAGCCTGCTGCATCATTTTTTCACTTTGATTTTTCGAGGTGTCTTTGAATTCAGTCCTCTTTAGGTTGATCATTTTCATCAAATGATGGGGCATCCTTACGTTCCTAACACATTACCCAGTCCATATCAGTATAGATATCCAGCATATTTTTCCCCATTCAGATCTGATGTTTTCAAAGTGTTAATTATTTTGAGCAGTGTACATTGTATCTGAGATGTGACATCATTATGTAAAGCAATTGTTTGCTTTCATTTCCTTAACAAATGTAAATATAATAAAGCTCCTGCATAAATTGCAAGCCACTCATATATTTTTTTTCCTTTGGATCTTTTCTGGGAGAATTGGCTGTTAATATATTTAGAAAGCCACAAAAATTGTCAAAAAGGAAGAGCAAAGCTAGCTTCTAAAAATTTAGATGACACATCCAGTAAACTTTTGGAAACCAAAAGAAAAAATGCTTTTGCATAAAGAGAAACAAATATGTCCAGATTAACGAGCTTGCAAAATGCCAATTTCTCTACTTTGAGATCAATTTACAAAATTGCAGGTAAAAGCTCAGACAAAGCAAGAACTTTAAATGCTTACTTGCAGTATTTTTCCTCTTCATAAGTTTTATTCACTTTCAACGTGCTAGCAAATTTGACTTCAGGGGAGTTTTTTTTCCCTGCCTCCCTCCCTCCTTGCACATCCTTTTCTCAGTGTCTACTTACTGTCTGTGCTGGCCCAGCACTTCCACCCATCCCCACATACTTTTATGTAGCAGCTAGGGGAGGGGCAAAGTGGAACACTATGGTGCAGTGTTTCTGAACTGGGGTTCCACCGTTGTAGCAGATGTTCTGAATATTGCCCTCAGTGATGCCTTTAAGGCCTTATCACACTGGACTTGTAGGGTTCATGTACACTGCAGCTGATAAACTCACGTTTAGGATCTGTTCAGCTGTTTTTCAGCAGCCCCTGAACTCACCCTAATGTTTTCCTACGTGTCCACGTACACTATATCGTTTACAGGCATTTGAGTTTACAGTCGTTTTTTTTGAACGCAGAAAACTTGTGTTCAGCAGTTGATTTTATTAGCGTTTCAAACGCAAAATGCGGCTAAACGCGTAAATAAAGATTTGATTTCAAATATATATTTGTGTGATGATTTAAAACAGTTTATTGATATGATTTATGTTACTCCGTATCCCAGAGGCTTTTTTTTTCTTTAACAAGAGACCAGCAGCAGAGGGCTAGAAGCTAGGAACCCCTCTCTGCAGACAGGCTAGGAAAGAGCTGGGTCATGTAACAACTGTCTATTGATTAGGAAAAAAGGTACTTTGATGCTTTTTTTTTTTTATTATAATTACAGTGCCATCATGTCCATACAGAAAGAGAAGGAATAATGTACAATAAACAGTGTGTGCTTATTACTTTAAAAAGCAGCCCCATTGCCAGCCCAAAGATCTGCGCATGCTTGCATTGTACAACTGCAGGTTAAGGCGGAACTAAATTGCTGATGGATTCCAGCCTTTTTTTTTTTTTTTTTTAAATCTGCACAATTGCACCACTGGTCTGCTCCAGGCATTTGGGAGCTGAAAAAGCACATATTTCTGTGCATGAACACAAATGCTGCCAGCTTCTGATGGATAGGCAATATATAACACCCAATGGCATTTGTACGCATGCAGTAAAGTTGCAGCTTAGTAACCCACTGCCTCCTGGGATTGCTGCAATTTAGGCAATAGGGCCTGGCCTAGGCTAGACACCAGGAAGTGCTGCCTTGCAGAACAAAATTACACATAATGGTAAAAAATTAGAATACATTTTAACTACAGTTGCATTGGGGGGGGATGTTGTGAAAAATAAGAAATAGTTGTTTAACTACTTGCCAACCGCAGATAGCCGAATGACGGCTACACTGCGGCCAGCCAGTTCTGGGAGGGTGTCATATGACGTCCTCCCAGAACGCGCTCTCCTGCGTGCCCCCGGGTGCGCGCACCCGGTGATCTTTGTGATTGCTGTGTCCTACGGCCAATCACAGCGGCCTTTTACCACATGATCAGCCTTGTCCAATGACAAGCTGATCACCGGGAAATGCAATTGCCAGTTCTCGGCTGCACTTTCCTCACCTGTGCCCAGCAGTGCACCCTCCTGTGCCCAGCATGCACCCTCCTGTGTCTAGCAGTGCACCCACCTGTGCCACCCAGCAGTGCGACACACCTGTGCCCACCGTGCTGCCAGTCATTGCCCAGCAGTTGCGCCAGTCCATGCCCAGCAGTGATGCCAGTCAAGGCCCAGCAGTGATGCCAGTCAATGCCCAGCAGTGCCACCAGTCAGTGCCACCTATCCGTGACACCTCATTAATGCTGCCTATCAGTGCTCATCAGTGCTGCCTCACCAATGCACATCAGTGAAGGAGAAAATTTACCTGTTTAAAAATTTTTATAATAGAAACAACCTTTTTTGTTTTCAAATTTTTTGCAATTTTTTTGTTAATAGCGCAAGACGTAAAGTGCCCAGCGGCGATTAAATACCACCAAAAGAAAGCTCTATTTGTGAGGAAAAAAAATGATAAAAATTTCATAAGGGTACAATCTTGCATGATCGCAGAATTGTCAAAGTGCGACAGCGCTGAAAGCTGAAAATTGGCCTGGTAAAGAAGGGGGTTTAAATGCCCGGTAGCAAGTGGTTAAGGGAGTTTTGTTCTGCTTGAAATGACAGTCACATTCATGAATTACATGTCTACAGGTTAAACAGCTACATTTCCAGGGATAACCAACCCAAGAATCTGCATAATCTGTTCATTGAAGTACATGGACTACTGGCAATCTGCAGTAGTAGTTTTTCTGTTTTACGGTGTAAATATTTCATGATTTAACATGGTTCTTTCAGTCAGCAGTGTTTGGTCTATATTTACTGCGATGTTTAGTCATATGCAATGTTACTCTGTTGTAAATTACAACTTTACACAAGTTGTGGCTCAGAAGATAACATGACGTGAACAATCACCTACCTTTGCTCTGGAATTTGTCCTGAAAAATATTAGTGCCATGGGCCTCATAGTTGTAAACTGTATCTGCTGTGTGAGCAATTTCACCTTTTGCATCGTATGCCAATTGCAGGGAGGGTTTTGCACTGCAGTGTGGATTTTGGACTGAACCAATGTTTTAGATCCATCTGTAAACACCAAAACCAGTTTTAATTTCATATTGAAATAGAAACTGGCTCAGGTTCCTCACCTAACAAAGGGATCATGCCAGATTTCAGTATAGGAAATGGCTGCAGATGTCTGGCGGATTGGACTCAGCGTACAGGAAGTAAAACTGCCCGTCTGTAAAGAATACAGGCCACACAGACTAATGCCGGCCATACATGGGTAGAAATTTGACCGATTTTTCATCCGATAATAATCGGCTGATTTTCACTCTGTTAGTGGGTCAATGGCACCGGCCAATTTTCATGGTTCCTCCCCTTTTCGGTGATCGGGCATGTTGGAAAATTCGTGAAAAATTACCGATTTTCGACTCGATGGTCAAATCGTACCAACCTTTTTTCCAAAAAGAATATGCGCATGAGCCGTGACATGGAAGGAACAGAAGTTTCACCTGTTATATGGGGTGAACTTTATGACTTGGTCAGCCAATTTTCGAAATCATTGATGGCACCATCGGATTACCGAGCAGATGACGTTTTCGTTTTTCGCACGACAAAGCGTTCAGAATTCGACCTATGTATGGCCTGCATAAGTAAAGATAAATACATATATTTATATTCATGTCCCCCCCCCCACTATAAATCCTGGCAAACACAGGGTCAACAGCCTTTCCCCATGCTTTCAGCTGAGGAAGAGGGGATGGGGAACAG